TTTCCCTTAAAAAGTTGCTAGTTTCACAGATAAATGGGTCCCAGAATAATGGTAAAACCATATGGATTTTTTATTCAGAAACCAGATGGAAAATAAAATCGTAAAATGTCTTGCTTTAAATCTCTAATTTGGAGAATGTCTCGGTCATTACACTATTCAATATTTCAGAGATTAGTACCTGAGATAGGTACACGTGATGCGGAAAGATGTCTAGGAATCACGGATAAACGTTTAAGCTTTCCTTTACTCCCTCATAATTCATTTCAAAAACGCGAAAACACGGATGTCACTTTAAACATCCAGGTTTTATCGGATGATGAGTATGATCTCTTAGCCTCGGCCTCAGTTGTCATACTTGAGGCTTCGTTTTTATCGCGTTGGTCTTTTCAGTCGTAAATTCCCCTGGAACATATCCACTGGTTTTGTTACTGTCTTAGTGAGGGATATACGTGTGATCACGACGAGTGTGCTAGATTATATTTGACAATGTGTGATAGTACACGCCATTGATCGACAACAGAAACTGACAGAAATGGCTAACTATCGCTCTTGATGCTCATCCGGGATAGACGGAGGCTGGATGAGGCGAAAATCTGGAGACGGAAGCAGGCGCGGTTCTCCGGGGGAGGGGGGGGGGGGGGCTTTAGCCCCCAACTTTTGTTTAGTCTCCCCCCCCCCCAAAAAAAAATGTTGAAAACTGGTGAAAATTGTATTGATAATAATAACGTACATGTCCGCCAGAGGCGTGTGAAGGGGGCATTTGTACACTATTAGGTAATATTGTGTGCATGATTGTATGATTTGATTTGATTTGATTTTCGGAATTTAGTAGACAATGAATATGCATTAAAACACCAAATAATCTCAACAATAATTTTCAAGGTTATTCTATGCACGGAGTCGTATTTGAAAATAATAATAATGATAATAATAATTATAACACTACTGAAAACAAATATACCCCACCCTCCTAACCCCAGCATATCTCACACCAAACGGTTTTCAGTGATATTTTTCGTAGGGACGATTCATTTCCCAATCATCGTTAGGCCAACTGATTTATGAGACTGTCACTTCATCACAGCTTCGATTTCTTATTAATTAAAAAAAATCCTGCATGACATCTGCCCCACAAAAAATGCTAAACATACGTGTAGAATTTAACTGACCACCTATTGTCCGATAGTGTCCATGACCGTCCGGTTTGAAAGGCGCACCCCCCCATAAGATGGTGCCAGTCCCCCCTCCACTTTTTGATTTTACGGAGGCCAAGTGACTGGAAAAAAATACATTTCAGCACGGATGGGCGAGTGCACTTTTCACGAACGTTTTTACACCCCCAAATAAAAATGACCTTGCTACGCCACTGCACTTGACATGGCACCCTACACTCTTATTCAGCTTAAAAACGGGCAAAGTGACTTGCTATCAGCTGATTGCTAGTTTTCTTACACAACGGCTTGTCAAGAATGCACTGATAGAAATAGTTACTATGGTAAAACTAGAAAGCATTCAGAGAGCGCAAACCTCCGCCAAGGCTAAACAATTTTTTTGTAACGCAGATTTTTATTACAAGTCTTCTCGCATAACACAATCCCAGGGTCATCCCATCAACAGAGGGCGCAATGACAAGCGATTCTCGTGAGAAATTCATAGGTCCAAAGTCGAATTCCTGAGAAACGGTGAGATCAATTAAAGCTGTAAGTTGTAATTTTGATATCGGGCAAAATGAAAAGAAAATTGTCTCAATACTTAAAAATGAATAGAGGCCATGTTTGATATTTATCACTTGACTTTATGGTGAACTGACACTTTTTGGTGTGAAAAAGATAACTTTTCTGCTCATTTGTTTTCTGTATTTTGTGAACATTAGACGGCTACCAAGAACCGACCAAAGATGCAAATGGGCACGGACAGTCTACCTGCAGTGAGGCGGCTGTCGGGCCCACGCTGCTGGTTTAGCAGTGCCAGGCCAGAGATTCGAACTGATTCAGCGCCTGTTGGCCTTAAAGACAACATGCCATTAGTTCAATCTCCAGTTTTTGCTGGACTGAGCTTAGTGTCCTCTTTGTACAGATATCACTAACTAACTGACTGACTGAATCCCTGACTGACTGGGTGTGTGAGTGACTGACCGTCCCTTGTGTAAGATTAGCCCGGGACGCCAATGAATAGGCCGCAAATCAGCCATATTGCAGATGCATGAAAAGCTTCCAGTGAAACGCCATTCTCAATTATTTGGATATACTTTATGTGCACTCTGGGATCAGATTTAATAGGCTTGCCTTGTATTTGTCACGGTTTTCAACTATTTTCGGATGAGTAATATTGCCATTTTGTAATGGGTAGCTTTCTCCATGGACTGATCAAATCATTGCAGGTGTGTAGAGAAGTTTATGTCATTAACCTCCAGATTGCTTCTTAGTGACATAACAACATGGAAGGTGATCGGGGTCGGTATTCCTGATTGCCATGAGATGTGCATTATCAGCGGTGTTTCGTCAGTAGTTTGCCGATTGATAGTCGCGGACTAGAAGTCAGGAACTGAAGATTTGCATCAGCGTCACCTTTGCCAAACCTGTCCCTTTCTTCCTCTTTATTCTGACAGGTCTATCCACCCATCATCGCAATCGAAGCGTGCGGAGTTGGTGTTGGTCACAGCGGGTGACCTCAACCTCCAGCTGTCACGCGTACGACCACCGACAAGTTTGTAGGTTTACACACACAATGGGTATTAATTGCAATTGATGAGGCTCTTGGGATGGGAGCGTGAGCTGTCGGTGCATTTATACCAATAGAAAGGGACGCATGACGTCAAGTTACAGCCTCAAATCTACCCCATGGTGCATAGTACTCTGCTCGGAATTGAATCTGTGCATACTTTTCTTGCCACACGGAAAAGCATTGAACAGAAGCAAACGTAACGTAATTAGTCGTCAATAAGTATGATGAGCACTTTCAAGTTTTCAGTCCTGAGGGAATTTTACCTGTCTTAGAAAAGCATTCCCGTTAACAAAATAACAAGCTCCGGAAGTATAGTAACTATAAAATGCCCCCTAACACTCACTTCAGTGGCATAGCAAGCAATATTTTGTAGACTGCCCTTTTGTATATAATTTCCCCTTTTTCACCAGCGTTTACCTCCCCTACATTTGTAAAGAGTGCCCTTTAAAACAAAAAAGTGCCCTTTTTTTACCAGCGGCCTTCAACGAATGCCATTTTTGGAATTTCGCGCGACCGTCGACAATTGTGCCGCCATGAAAAGCGCCACCTATTGTTCCATGGTGTTCATGACTGTCCGGGTTGAAAAGCGCCTCCATCGGAAGATGGTACCAGCCATCCCCCCCCACACTTTTTGATTTAACGGAGGCCAGGTGACTGGAGAAAAAAAACCTGTCTACATTGTAGCACGGATGTGTGAGTGCCCTTTTCACGAACTTTACCCCGAAAAAAAAATGGCCTTGCTACGCCACTGCGCTTAACTGGCACCCTACACTCTTATCTTGTTTGAAAACGGGCAAAGACAGTGGCTATCAGCTGATCGCTAATTTTCCTAGACAACGGCTTGTCAAAAGTGTACTGATAGAAATAATTACTATCGTAAAATAAAGCCAAACCTTCAACCAAAATCACACTGATTTAGTTAATTCAATCCTTGATATACCTCTACACCAATAATGCACTGAAATAGCGCCCTCGTTGTTGAGATTCAGTCAAGGCGCACATATTGTTTATTATTTCGTTTTCACCGTTATGACAGGCACGACAAAATAAGCCAATGCTGCTCACTTAGGTTTTATTGTATACATGCATTGTAAATTTACATTTCGATGGCATTATATATTATTTTACATAATACTTCTTATTCAGCCTTATTTGGATTATCATTCAATTTGGTTTCCTAAATATGGGTTGGATGAGTCTTTATATATTTTATTAGAAAGTAACATCTTCTTGCTACTAAAGTTAAAACAACATAATTCATTACCAGGACACAAGTCATATCTCCTCTCGTTAAATCGTCACACTAGCATCCTATTTAAAAGTTTACGTAAACCTTAAAAACTGCACCATGTACAGCACAGAATAAATCTACCGTAACACTTATTGTGTAGAATCACAAAGATCTTTAAATGCTTTCAATGCAACAGAGCTACGTGACAGTATCTTAAGTTAACACACACATCAAACCTTTGAATATTTTACTCATTCTACTATTCTTTACAATAAATATACTAGCCAAAGAAAGAAACGAAACTTAGGCCAAAAAAAAAAGTCTCCGGTTTCTGGTATGCGCGCGCGTCGCCGTAGCCATGCGCGTCGGCAAAATGAAAAAGTTTTTTTTTCAATGAAAGATGATGTCTCAAAACCGCCAAACTCACTGGTTTGACTGGAATCCTGCTGCTGCACAATTTTAACGTGTTTTTAGATGGAGTTATGATCGAGAATAAGCTTTATGTGGCCTCTCTGGACTCCCATATATTTGCACTAAGTTTAGTCGGGCACCATTTGCAGTCATCAGTCGACATTTGAAGCAAAAAGGTCAGGTAAAAAAAAAAAAAAAGCCGCGTCGCCGCACCACTTTTTGGACAAGCTCCATACCAGAAACCGGAGACTTTTTTTGTGTGGCCTAGGCCAAAAAAAAGTCTCCGGTTTCTGGTATGCGCGCGCGTCGCCGTAGCCATGCGCGTCGGCAAAATGAAAAAGTTTTTTTTTCAATGAAAGATGATGTCTCAAAATCGCCAAACTCACTGGTTTGACTGGAATCCTGCTGCTGCACAATTTTAACGTGTTTTTAGATTGGGTTATGGTCGAGAATAAGCTTTATGTGGCCTCTCTGGACTCCCATATATTTGCACTAAGTTTAGTCGGGCACCATTTGCAGTCATCAGCCGACATTTGAAGCAAAAAAATCAGGTAAAAAAAAAAAAAAAGCCGCTTCGCCGCACCACTTTTTGGGCAAGCTCCATACCAGAAACCGGAGACTTTTTTTGGGCCTTAGTTAAAAGTTGCTGTCGAGATAATTTGGTTGTGTACAATACCGCCTTAAACCTCACAAAACCAATTGATCCATGTTAACACGCATCAGTGTCCCCCAAAGAAGTCATGTTGTTGAAAACGATAAACAGGGTGTCCTGTAATCTTGAATTAAATTACACTTGAGAATGATTTACAATAAAGTTGCGGTTTTTTTTGCTAGTAGATGTATATAAACAAGTATATGTATATGTCATTATAACACGAATGGTTTAGACAAATATTTGGATAACACCAGATCAGGCTTTTGAACTATCGTGATGTTATATCGTGTATTAACTATTCAGTAGATGAATTTGCGTCGGGATGATATAAATTAATATTAGGTGTTTTGCCCTTCACCGACGTATAAACACTGTATATACAGTGTGCTACCTCCCGAGTGAAAGTTGAAAAAAATCACTTGGATGGGATTCGAACCCAGGACCTCTCGTGTATTACCACTCGATCACCGAGCTTGCGGAATCGGTTGGTGTATTTGATTTTCTATGGATATACACGCTAATCTTGCACATCTGTTTGGGGATTGTACTTTATATGTTTTGGTCCGTAGACCTCATCACTTCGTGAATTTACAAACTGACACGGAGAGTTACAACTTTACGAAAGTATCACAATGTTAAAACTATTTATATTACGGTCAATACAAAGTTCGACAAACTGGTGCTTTTGATATCATGCTTATCGAATATCATGGAAGCCCAGCCTCGTCACTCTGCGTTACATCGAATTCTTCGCTGCACAAACACTGAAAACTGAAAACACTGTTTTTCACTGAGTTCAGTGAAAATATAACTTACAAAGTGACACTCTATTTGATCTTCAGATAAGTGAAATACTCATTATGATACATAATATACACATTTACATAGGTGCCACATATTATTTATTAGCACAAATACCTTAAGTGGAATATTTTATATTTATCACCAAAATACAGAAAAATCCGCAACTACTGCCTTATGCGATCATCTTGCAACAACACCGATAACTTTAATACACACCAAAATTACAAATCTATATACAAACAGACACTATACCTGGCCAAAGTGAATAATTTCTTCACACAATGAAGTACCGGCTCCTTGAATTGAATTTGGTTATCATAATTCCTACAACAATAATAATGAAGATTAATAACATTAATACTTGACTTTGGTAATCGTTCAGTGCTTCTGTACTCGTGCCCTAATCTTCAATTTCATCTTTTTGAAAGAGCCTAGCAGTGTCACTCTGCTCAGGGTCACTCTTCGCCATTTCCTCCTCGTTCAGTGTGAGCTTTGACCCTGTTGCCATGGCGCCGCTAGCCTCCCCCTTCTCGCTCCGTGCCTTTATCCCACCGCTGCCACCAGTTGTTGGGATGCAGTGGTCGTACACGGCGCCCTCAAGCGGCATGTAGTCACACTGGGCCACCAGCATCTTGTCGAAGGTGTTGAAGAGGTTGGTGAAGGTCGGTCGGTCACAGGGTTTCTCTCGCCAGCATTGTCTCATGATGTCATAACTATCAATTAAAACGAAATAGTCATTTTGTGACTTTATAAGACTAAAACAAGGTATGCGAAACACCTGAATCCACGCACAAAATTTCGCTCTACAAGGACGAAATGAAAACAAGCCAAATGAGAAAATGTCGAGATTTTGAATTAACTACACGTAATAATTTATACTTAAAAAAGGCGCCGCTTTTGTCCATAATTCAAAGAAATGAATAATTACTAAATTTCTCAGTCTGACATAAAGAAAGTTCACATCTCCAAAGAAGGATTAGGTGGGCGCAGGAGCTTTTTACATTGCCTTGTCTAGTTCCAAGACCTACTTATTTAAAATTTTATGGTTCTTGTGCTCGAGTGTTGAATGGCAACTCATCGCAACCGATGGAAATCTAGTGTGCAAATGAATAGATGTTTCACTGGCTGATGTAATCCCGTCCAGATAAATAAAGGGGGAAGCTGTTTGGTTGTGTGTGATAACACTGTACAGGAAAATCTCTTTACACCCCTAATATCATTTTCCGGAACTTTATAAAACTAGGCTAAATCTCACATGTCTTCGGGGCAGGAGTTTGGTTTGTCCATGCGGTAGCCGGTCTGCAGACGTCGGATGACCTCGCGTCCATCCACTCCAGGGTATGGCATGCTTCCCAGCGTATAGATCTCATACAAGACGATGCCAAAGGACCAGCTAGAGAGAGAGAGAGAGAGAGAGAGAGAGAGAAAAATACCCAACATAAACCACTCTGACAAAAGGCATGTGGTTGAAACAGTTGTTCCATCTGTGGACGACAGAACATTGGACCGTTGCGTACATTTTTCACAGTGCTCGTGACCGTGACCTAGCGTGCGTGGTCACCTGATATTAAAGTCATGATCTAATTAGTCAATGCACACTTTGCACAGCTTCCTACCTGTCAATTTACAGGCTAGAAGGGTCCTTCTCTTGGAGACCAATTCCTCAAATTCCAACCAATACCTCAAAGTCTGTCTTTATTTTGTTGACAACGTTGGCACATTTTGGACTTGTTTCAAAGAAGTGTTTCTGGACATTTTTAAATTGAGGTAGAAAAGTAACACTTGAAAAAGACTGATCTATATTAGTCTGGTGTAACATCTACACCACACCAAAGTTTAACAATATCCTGCAAACATATTTCTATAGGCTGTTCTCCATATATCCTCCGGTTGAAAAAAGGACATCTCTTGGGGAAGTTCCAAAAATGATTTATTTGAAACCAATTGTTAGCTAAACGAAAAGCGGCACAAAAATCACCCGAGTTTTAAAACTTTTTTTAAAATCACACTACCGATACATACACGTCACTTTGTATGGTGCATTTGCCTTCCATATTGGTCTCCAGGCTGACCCACTTGACGGGGCGTTTCCTCTGAGGGGCCAAGCGCTTGTAACCGTTCTGGTAGATGTCGTCAGCTAGGCCAAAATCTGAGATCTTGATCACTAGGTCCTCGCCCACCAGGACGTTGCGAGCTGCCAGGTCGCCGTGGTAGTAACGGGTGTTGGACAGATATTCCTTGACAGAAAAATAGGCACATCCTTTTCTTTTAAATCCATCTTTTGAACGACAACAAAGAATCAATGTTTTAATAAAGGTACTTCTGACAGATCACAAGTCCATCAAAAGTCATCAAGTCACGAGTCAACTCCCTAGCTATTTATGAATTGTGACAAAACCAGCGCACTGTTATTATCGCTCCCTATGTTACTGATGACTTAACTTGTGAATGACTTGTAATTTATTTGTGACCGGACTACTCGTGTACCTGTGGTCCATCACAAGTATACCACGAATACAACACTGACAATCGTCGCATACGTTTGCCAACTCTTGCAGTTTAATTCTTGCACCCATGTAATTTCATCAGGTCGGCATTCTTCTTATCATTGTGTTGATGCGGGCAGAAGCTGTGACTGTGACTGTGATATTCGGGCGGATTTCTAGCGCCATAGTGCTTGCAAGGAAATCTATTTTTTTCAAAATATCTGCCCATTTGCAATTATCTATATTCACAAATTCAAAAGTTATAGTAACGCTTCTTCGGCGACGAGTTCATTAAGGTGTAGGCCCACTGTACATTATACTTGGCTATGTGAAAATATTCCTTGTATTAAAATTACACGTGAGCTGTGACCAGCAGGTCTACATATCCATTCAAATTGATTCGACGAAAATATATTTCACATTGTCTTTACCATGCCTCGCGTGATTTGTCGAGCAATCTGTATCTTGTTGGTCTCTGACAGCAAGTAAATCACGTCATCATCCGGCCGATTCTCCTATTTGGTAAGAGAGGAAATTAAAAAAAAATTCACCAAGTGAATCATCAACCCTACTAAATTACCGACGCCAAAAAAGTAAATATCAAGAAAAATAATAATATTATAAGTCAATGTACCTCCCGACACTTCCACAAGAAGTGAAGCAAGTCGCCATATTTCATGAACTCAGTGATGAGGTAGTATGGCTCATCCACCGTGCAGCAGCCAAGCACGGAGAGTATGTTAGGATGCGTCCCGATCTCAATGATTAGCTTGATCTCATCCAAGAAGTCTTCCTTCATGGCCAAACTCGCATTACCTGGATGACGTGATCATAACAAAATGCTCTGAAATCGTACCTTCAATGTCAGGGAGTTTTATATGTATGTTACTTCTCCAGTTTCACTGATTTGAAAAACGATGGCTACAAAAGAAATAACATTAGAACTGAATAAAAGTTATCAGTGGGGATTTGATGTCGGGGAGATGTCAGTTTCATTACTGGGTTTTGTCCCTTACGCGGCGAAGCTTTTGATTCGATGAAGAGCGATATTATTATTATTATTATTTTATTTCTCTCCACTTGAATACATACACTTACGTAATAACATTATAAACCCACAAAAAAGCCAAGACAAGAAAACAGCACTAAAAAAATATATGTGGAGAAGGCAAAACCGTGAAGGAAAAAACAAATTCCTATTACTCGAAGGAACAGTCTGTCCATTTAAAATGTGAAGTGAGGGAAAGTTGACAGTAACACAAAACTATAAATAATTACGAAAGATAAAATATAACATACATCAGTTTCCTTGTCTGAGGTTTTTAAGCTCTGGCAGGAGCTTCGTACAAGTCATTTTGGTGTCGGTCGGTCGGTCGGTCGGTCGCCCAAAAATTGCCCAAACACATTTACAAAAAATTAGCAAATACCATGCCTTCGGCAGTATAAATACACTGCAAAAATTGTTTGTAACAATTCGTAAAGTTGTGTATGAAAATGGTGAAAACGTAGGCAAGATATGTGCAGTATTGTTATAGTCACGTGGTATTTTCTGTAGAGGTTGGATGGTATCCAGAAGGAGGATATGAAAACTGACGAAAAGTATGGTGTCCCATATGTGCCATCGGTGTTGTGCACTCGCACTTGTTTCATACTCCTTCAAAGTATTTTGTCAACATCGTCTGGATGCTTAAGCTCTACACTTAGTGCACGCTTGACTATTTTCAGTTTTGCTAAGATTTTATAACTTTTTTTGTGCATTTGAGTACTCGGCTAGCCGACCTAAGATGGAACATTGCAAATATAACGTGTATTCCTTTTCTCTTAGTCTAAGCCATTGTTTAGACGTACACTTGAGACTCTTGACGGCAACTGGTGAATACTCCTCCTTATTGTAGGCACCAAACGCGAAGCCCTTGTAGACCACGCCGAACTGGCCGCTTCCTAGCTCCTTCTCCAACTTGAGCAGAGTCCGGTCTAGTTCCTTGACCTCAAACTCAGGCAGACACTCTTTGTAGTCAGTCTCTGTAAGGGTGCAACAGTGCAATAAAATTCCCATAGACACTGGTGCTAAATGCCCATACTTCAGAATTCTTTAAAAATACTCAGAACTCTCACAGGTATTTTAGCTGCACAGTAAAATGATGATCAACATGTCATCTTTCATTTTCTTTTCATTTTTTGTTGGGTTGACCATTGACTTTTCGAGGAATTCTCACTCAAAGAAGATGACCCCTATCTTTCCCAAAGCGGAAAAGTAGCCATCTTGAAAAAGGATCCCTCTACAACATGGCAACATAGTGCTACTTTCGAGCCCAATTGCATCCAAAATGTTCAGAATTGGTAGCCCCAAGTCCGTGCCAGAGGTTCATTGCCATATCTCTTCAATTCCCCAATGTTATCGCTCTCAGAACTCTCTAATATAGAATATTTTGAGGGTATAACTTTATTCATTAGCTCGGCCGATGGGTTTAGGCCTATTTACAGGTATGCACCCGTAAGTGTCAACCCAAGAAGATGATAAAAGGGGCTGAAGACCGCCCTCCATTGATAATTACGAGAATCATATCCAAACATATCACAAGAGCAAATCAATTAACTGTATGGTAGACATTATGAACCTGTTTTTGTTGATTAAATTAGTGAATCAGGGCTCAACTCCCATACTGTACTGTGCAATCCAACATTTTGTTCTATTACGATGACTGCACACGATGTGTGTCGACACACAAGACAAAATTAGCCTTAGCAAATACATTAAGAACTTACTGTTATTTAACCTGAGATGGCGCCAAATTGAATTTGCGAGACAACTTGTGGATTTATGAGTTAGTTCACGGATTGCAAACTTGTGATGGCTTTGACTGCAAAACTGCTTACCATTCTTCTCCAGACTACCCTTGTGGTGATACATGCTGATCTCCTCCTCCCTAGTCCGGATGAACACCGCCTTCTTCAACTCATCTTCCTTCTTCTTGCGCCGGAGGCAGATGCAAGCCACACATACCATGGACAGGAGAAAGGCCAAGGCAGCACCGACAGCCACCGATGCCGTCACCAAGATGGAACTGCTGGCAGGTTTGCCTGGGGTGGGAGGGATGTCTCCCTCACTCGTGGGCGTGGTTGATTTGTCTAGGCCACTCGACGGACTCGTGGTGGCGCCCTTGGTCACATCATCATTGGACGGCAACCCCCTGCCGTCTGGAGCTCGCCTGGGTGGCGGCGTGGGATCGGCCTCAGGTATCCAGGAATCCAAAGCTATTCAATGGAACCAAAGGGAAAGTCTGAGTTAACAAAACATATCAGAAATCAGGAAGTACTGTGAGTTAGTAAGTCAAACTTGGATTTCTTTCCAAACGAATCTAATTCTCGACGTCAACAAAGACTGTTTCACATGATTTCCCACAATGTCCCACAGAAACATTACGATTGTTAATGCAAAAATGTTGTTCATTTGTCTGATTATCAATTTAGCTGACATTTGTTTTTGTTGATTGATTGATTTTTATTGTTAAATATTTTAACATCACTACCAGATTCGATTCGTGTTTCTGCTGGACTCGGTTCCTCCGCGCCTGCTGTTTCAAATAGTATCCGAGCTTGATAGAGGCTGGTAGTATCATCGGTCACAGGTGTTACCTTTTGGCAAATAAAATGAGGTGCTCAGTTTAATCTTTGCATGCAATGGTTTGAAAGTAAGTTAAAACATATACCACTCTTGACTACATCGAAAATTAGTATCGGTTAAATTAGAGACGTGGTTAGGTACAAATCCACCCGGTATTAATTAAACACCGTTCTTTGGTTTATATTACTAAATGTACCATTAGAGAGACACCTTATCGTTATTTTTTTCGATAATGGGGAGACACCGGCTTTTAGGGAGACACATAACTGTCTCCCTAATATGGCACAGCCCCCCTTTAGAGGCAAAGTTTTAACTTCGCAATTAGGTTATATTTATTGCTTGTGGTGTAATTAGTAAAACTACCGAAATTAGTGGGAAAAGGACAAGGGAATATAGGGTTAGGGTACATGTAAGTTGGAAAACTGTTGTGCACAAGTCTATGGGAAAGTCTCCCAAATGACCCATTCCCGGTAATGGCTCAATTATTATTATTATTTTTTTTTTTTTGGAGGGGGAGGGGGTTCGGTATTGTTATGTTCAGACAAAAAGACAAAGAACTTATACCTAAGGTATTACTTTTTGTCTACTGGCTTCGTACTCAACTAAAGCACGTTAACTATGTTGTCAGAAAACCCAGCCATTCTTCTGGGTTTAAACAAGAATTTAGGCCAAACATGCCATATCCGTTTACCACTGCAGCGAAGCGGTTTGCAAAAAAATAATCTAGCAAACGAATAAATGTCCGCTATCGAAAAGAGTCTCATTACACAAACAAATATTCATGCTTCTATTTCAAAATTATCATCTTACCGTTAATTCGTAAAGGTCATCTGTTGATTCGGGCAGGTCCATGGTGATCTCATACCGCACCGTTAGGTTCCATTCACCATCCTCCTAAAAAAAACATTCAAATCTCGAATTTTGTTGCAAATTTCCGGTGTTGCACAAAAGCGCTCAGGCGTAAGTCGATCTAATCCATCAGGACACATCTTATAATGCTAACCTGTATAAAGTTGTTTGAAATTAATCTTGTACCAGAATTCTGCCCTTTTCAGTTGACCACTTTTACTGATATTTACCTAATAGTTTAACCCCTAGATTAAAGTTTATAAAAAGATGCTAAACATTAACAGCAATGAAGTCAAATAGTTCAGCTGGGCCCGATATCACGAAACACTGCGACGCGTCGCAACCCGAGTATACGACGTGTAACACGTAACATGCAACTCGCGACGCGTACGGTTGTAGGATCCATTTTACGAAACTTGCGATGAGTTCAACGCGTCGTGAGTTCCTTGACAACGGCTTAAAACACGTCGCAAGTTATGACGTGTCTAGTGGTCATCGCTAAAAAAGAAGCGTCCTTTTCTTAGCCATTTTTTTGCCATAAAAATTACATAAACGAGACTATAATACCGAGACAATGTGTGTTAAGTTGCAAAAGGAAAATGCATTGCATGAATATGAAACTAGCCTGGATTATTGCAGTTTAAATTCCAAAGTATAACAGTCCACTTTTTAACGTTTTTTTACCGTTACATTTGCATCACTGTTTCGCCATTTTGTTTTACGTTTTAAAACTTTTGGAGAGAAGATCCAACGACTGTCTGTTGACTATCAGACGACTATTTACTGTATACTGAATTAATACATGCAACAGTCACCGTATTATGCTATAAATACACATACGACGCGTCGCACTTACGAGGTGTTTTGTGAAATGGATCTCAGGACGCGCTGCGACGCAGCGTAAGTTACGATGAGTTTCGTGAAATCGGGTGCAGGTACACTATGTTAGATGAAACAAAATTCGACGACGTTGATACCTGAGCAGCTGGAATGTAATCTTTGTGTCCGTTGCTAGTGGTGATGGGCTTGTTGGGTTGTTTGTAGCTAACTACGTACATCTTGATTGCTCCGTTAGATTGTACTGGTCTCACCCACGACGCATTAACCTCTATAACACCGTTAATTTGCCGTATTGTGCGGTCTATACGAAGATCCACTGGTTTGCCTGTAGTCTGGACAGCTTAAACAAGAAAAGCGTCGAAATACAATGCTTACCCCACTGCACTGACTTGACTGTAAAGAGGATGATTCTCATCTTATCTTTAAGATAAACATGATAATCTTTACGAGAATTTCAATTAGTAAACCTCACTTAAAAGACCGCTTTACTGTTTCCTTGTGTACAAGGAAGCAGCTTTTTTTTCCCTTTATTGCTTTTTTCTTCGAGAGTTCCTTTTATACGATGAAATTTTACGTCGGGAGCTGTAAATTGAATTTGCTGTGGTGATGGGCAAAAACTAAGTATCAAATATTAATTTTGTCCAGTTTCATTTTTGTGCTTTCAAGAAAAAGATGCATCCTTGTGATCGTTACACATTTACAGGAGGAGCGATTAATTTCCGGAGACGGAGACGTTACTTTGTCTGAACACGGTGCCGACTGAATTGTAATGTCTTACTGTGCGCCAAGTCGTCTTACCTCGTCCGCTGCAGAAGGCGGCGCTTTTTGTCTCTTCGTAACAATCTATCAAAAAACAAAGCCAAGAAAATGCCTACGTGATGAAAAAGCAATGTGTAGTTGATGAAAAGCATGACGATTAATAAATCTCTCTGATATAAAAAAGGATGATGGATTTCGCTTTGATTTTGCCGATTTTTTTTGCGAATGCATGCATAAGCAAATATTTTGTTGAAAGTCAAGTGCATGGGATTATGTGTACTGTGCCCGTCGTAGGTGCAGTCCAATACACGTGATTGATAACTTAACATGTGTGGCTGATCAGACGTAACGTGAAGCTGAATCACATTATTTTGGTATGGCCCTATATAAGTGCCAAAGAATATCAAGAAACTACGATGGACCTTATGCTTAGCAGCCATCGTTTTCCCCTTCTTAATTCCCCCTTTCCCTATTTGCTTTGGTCACGGGTGGGAAGTGAACCCCTACCCCTTCGTAGTAGTACACTACTTGTAGTGCACTTTATCTTCTGACAAGAGATTGGACGATAAGGAAATTGTCGGGCCATTTTCAGTAATAGAACAAAATATAAAACGGTAAGCTTGGAGCACTCATTGAATTGATTTAAACACAAAACTAACCCTAATAAGAGCAAAATTAAATGGAATTTCTGGAGGTATTATAAAAAGGGATTAGTAGCGGTTCTGTCTGGTCAGGCATCACAGGGCCTTGGTAATCACATACCCGGGGAGTTAATCGGTTCAATGTGACTGCCCGATTGAGGTCGTTGCATGATGTTGTTGCTATCGTCATACGTTCGAACCTAATGAAAAAACAAAAACAAGGTGACTGAACTTTGAGCCACAAACTGGCCAAGATCAGAGGCCAATACTATGTCATTCTTTCAGTGATACCCCCCCCAACCCCCCCCCCCCAAACAACGACAACAACAATTACCAGCCAAGACTTTATGTGCTGCAGGCCTATATTGCTGTGATTGCTCCTAGCCGATTTTTGTTAAGCTCGTACAATTGGTAAGCAATATTTTCTGCTCAGCAGCGTCTTATACAAAGCTATAGTCTAATAGTCCATGACTGGATTTGGATTTTATTCCCCTTAAATAGCCCGCCCGTGCAAGGCCCAGATTATCCAATAGTAGGCACTATGGCTATAGGGTCTACGAAAAATGTGGGGCCTACGAAAGATTCGAGGGCATAATACGAAAATACCACAGTGTGCCAACAGGTTTTTAATAGAGCTACCAGTTTGGCCAGGCTTGCTTACAACAGCTTATAGCATCAACACGAACTTGGTGCCGGTATAGTAGGGCCTACGGCACACTTAATCCGACTCTGGGTCCGTGACAAGCGAGGTCACCATCAACAAGATAAATCAAACCCAGTCTTGGTAATATTGGCAGCGCTACCCGGGAAATTCAGAGAATACCTCGCGAGCGCTGTATTCAAGCTAATGCATACAGCATGAAGTGCGCTCGGAATTTCCTGATGGGTGGCGCTGCCAATATTGCCAAGAGTGGATTCGTTTCATCTTGTTGACAGAGACCTTCAACGCTGCGACAACTGAAATGCGTTCGTCATTGAACTGGCTGCAATTTTGGACACTAGACAAAAAAAATTCAACTCCAGTCTTTGAGCAAGACTTGTTATAACTTGGCCTTCTTCTTCAACTACAAACCGTAGCACATGCGGATTTGTTTCGCATATCGGAGAGCTGATGCCGAATATGGACATCAACAGCTTATGGCTTTGTGGAATCCAATTGTGGTTACTAGCACTTTATCTATATTTGCTGTTCATATGAACGTTTTTATGTGGACGGTAACTCTAGGTGTATGCCTTTGCCTGTAACATTAATGCCGATGTTGGATCATCACTTCAGCACATCTTTCAATCATTTCATCACCTTTCCCCTATTCAACATTTATGGTGTTTAGCTTTACGGTGTTATGTACTGCTTGCGTTACCATTGATCTTTTAAGGACAATATTTCAAACTTACCCTCAGTTCATATGCATATCCGAAATCTACATCTGGAAATGTGATTGATTCGTTCGTCTGTGGGGAAAGATTCGGAATTAAGAACGAGGAATTTCGTAATCACTTGCTGTGAGTCACAAATACTGGGATATATCTTACCAGTTATTTATTTTATTTATGATTACAAAAAGCTTCATAAACAATCACGTTCCAAATAAATAAATAAACATGAACAGTAATGGGTAAAAACTTGAAAAAAAAATATGTTCACATGATACAAAAAAAAGAACTTTGTTCATGCGAACTATAGTAGTAATTTAGATCACTGATACAGGAAAGAATATTTTGAAGTGGAAATTTCGCCTAATTTATAGACCCCTTAGGCTTACATTAACGAAACGGAGTAGAACAATTTTGTCTATAAAACTTGTCATTTAAGAAGTCCGTTGGTCTTTAGAAATTATAATATCAGCGGAATTAGATTTTCTCCTAACCGTCAGACAAACAAAGGGACCCTGTACACAAACAGAAAACCAATCCCATGCTCCGTCAACGCTCAACAACAGACTCGCTTTGTAGCGAACACGCTGATTTCACCGCCATAATAAGGAAAGGTTAATAACGGAACTCGCCGTGTTTGCAGCGAGCTTCCGGGGGAGAATGATAGGGGCATATCACCGAATACAGACGGCGGTGTCCGCGTAGCTCTTGCGGACGCAAGAACCGTACTCCATTTTTTTCTTCAGCTTTTCTCGCGGATGATATCACGTTCGCGCTGTTCAATATCCTTCGAAAGACGATCCCGAAAGCACGCATGTAATTGCTATACCCACACGCAATCAATAGTAACGCCGTTAGATTATTTTCTTAGAGACGGCAACGGAGGTCGAATTCGGAGTGGCGTCAGCTCGAGATCTCGTGACATTTTTAACTTGGAATCAATAACAACATCGATGTTCAGTCTGATTTAAGGAGAAATGACAATCACAGCCGAGGGTATAAATAAATGTTTGAACCTCAGTTTCGGTAAAATGTATTTTGCATCGTATTGGTTCATTGTCGCCCGCAAAGCCGAATTTCCAACAAACAACAATGGAATGTGTCCATGCTCCAAAGGTGAGGTAAAATGTCCCCCAATAAACTACGACTGTCAGTCATCTAAGATAGAAAGTGGAGTTGTTGAGTTATTCATATATAGCGGGAGACTTAAGAGGTTTGGACAACGGTGGTAATACACACAAAGCACGACAGTCCATCGTTTCCAGCCCCACTCCTTATCGCAATACAGGTGAAACGTATGCAGGAGTAGTTTCTTCTCAATTGTACATGGAGGGCGAGTGAGACAATAATACACATCCTTGGAATCCGAAGCTTGTACCATCTCCACTAAGTGGCCAGATGGTTGTGGTGTTGCTTCAAACTACAATCGAACGCAATGGCCCAAAGTGCCCCTTCTATGCATGTCACTTTGGACGTAAGAGCAGCTGGGCATACAGTCGTCATCAGAAACCTTCGCTGCTTGGACTGAAGGAAACATAGTCTCGGATCTTTCGGCCATCTTGTTTTCTTTGTGGTTCCTTTTCGCTGAAAATAACATCTCCAGCACACGAATTCAGAAGTTTCATATTAAGAATTGTCCAACAATTAAATTTTAAACTTTAAATGAACCATGTTTTGGAAATTGCCATTCCTTTTTTTGACCATGCCAAATGTGGCCAATTTGTCTAGGAAGCGATTGACATACGTTGGGATATGTAAATATTGTCTTGAATGTAAATGCCAAAATATTTAGCAACGTGTATCATTTAACTAAAAGGATTGTCCTTGTATTAAACCACCATTTTACGGCGGAACAAATTTTCAACAATATGTTATCAAACTTATTCTGAACAGAAACGTTATATAAACAAAAAGTGGTTCCCTGCAGACTGTCACGCAGGAACACTTCCCAAATGGAAAAGCAACTTTGCACCAAACTAATTGGTTAAAAAGAATTTCCTCAATATTTAATAATTGTGTTAATCAAACACAAAACACGTAATTGTCGCTGTATCTTTGAAAAAAAATTCTCGAATTTATGTATATTGAAATTTACATTGAAATTTTAATCCTCTGGAATAAGCAAAATATTCTGTTTAAAATGCTCAATGAAAGAAACTTCTCCATCACCCAGGAACGTTTATTTCCTTAGAACTTATAATTCTTGTCTGAGACTGAAGGGTCCCGAGTCGATCCTACAGTGCCATCCAGAGCCCGCTACTCAAGTTCCCTCAGTCAATGACGGGTTTACCACAAGTAGCGATTACGGGCTGTCGGTAAAGAGGCTTAGACGCCCCCCCCTCCATCATTCCCGTGATCCCAAGACGCGCCACCAGTCAATCTCAGCGAACCACACGGGACCTTGCGTCAGTTTGGACGGCCCCGGTATCGACCGGCCCCGGCCTCAGAGGCACGGGAGACTCTTCCTTAAACCCCAGGAGTTGGTTTAGTCGCCCGCGCTCTCAGATTCCCTGGCTTGCGCAGCTGCCGATCAAGACCGATTCCAATTTAGCTGATTGCATGATAATCTTTAAAATAACACTCCAGAAGAAAGTAATAAGCACTATACACAACCTCAAAGCAAACAGATTAGTTTAAGTGCAATTAAACAACCGCCACTGCAACATTTTAGATAACCAATGGAGCTCCCTATAATGTCAAGAAAAAAATCTCGAAGCTCTAAATATATAATGTCATTTTCATCAGGTAAATTAATTCAAATTGAAAAATAAATAACCACTGATGAAAGGGATTTTTTTTGGTAGAAAAATGTAGACAGCACTTTGGATCTCGAGGGTGAATTATCCATGTAAATTGGACAGAAACTGTCACTTTAGTTGTTTCAGCAATGTTTCAGGTCTCCTTCATGAAATCATTCAGAAGCTTGTCGTTTGGTTCTCACCTTCTCTTTGGTAAAAAATGCAACTAAATCCTCATCGAAACGAAGTCTGCTGAAAAGAGAATTCTAGTCCAGGAGGAAAAAAACAATGGGCAACAGCTTGGAATAAATCAATTCCACCCTTGACACAACTGAAACATCATTAAATGATGTCTTGAATGCAAAGTCGGGAGGGGGGAGGGTCTATCCAACAAAGGCTCGAAGAAATTACGTCATACATCCAGAAGAAATTAGCCCTACCTGCGCCCTGTTTGGGCGGTGGATAAGAGCGAAATTTCAATATAACTCATAAAATTTAATGGATAAATTGTTGACATTAAAATTGAGACTTACCGTCAAGGTGTACAACGTCGAATCTATTGCACACGGATTCAGTTCGGGGTGATTACTACTCGGCACCGTCGACAGCTTTGCTCCATAACCGGTGAAAATCCCTTCCGTGAAAAGAAGAAGAAGAAGAAAGATGGTTCATTCTATAAAGTAGGATCCAACGGGTGACATACCTCATGTGTCTGTTACCCCTCAACGTTGTCATTTGGGGAGTCAGGTTGTCGTAGCGGTACTTTCCTCGCCTTCCACCGCTGTGATCCGGGTTCGAATCCAGCCTAGGCCAATATGTGGATTGGGTTTTCAGTCCCTACCTGATTCCGTGGGTTTTCCCCAGTATATTCTTCTGGGCTTTTCCTCCCACCTCTAAAACTGTAATTTCTTCTCATTGTCTCCTCTCTACAGGTTTCGTCAGGCTTTCGGGCTACAGTGCCTAGGGCACTTTTGAGGAATCCTTGGTTTCAATACCAGAAAGAAATAAAATAAAATAAATTTGCCGTTCAAGTATCATTAGGAATAACAATTACTTGTTGAGTAGGTAAAACTTGTAAGCTTTTCATAAATACCTAAGACAGTTTAACTATTCCTATTGGTTGAGAGCCCGTCAGGTAGATGGTTTTAAACCACTGATAAACACCAACTGGTTTTAAACACTTTTTTTCCTGCACCGCTGCGTTCTGCGTCACACCGTGCAGTACGCACCGGTCTCCATAGAGGGAGATTTGTTAGCACTACGCGCACTAGGCACAGTGGACGTGGCAACATGAATTAAAATTGTTGAACGACATCGTTGGTAAACGATTGGGAATTTCGACTTGTTTTGACTTTTTGACCGACAGTTATTCATGAATGGGAATAAATATGTGCTTGACCGGTAGTAAACAAGTTCATTTATAACCTGCTAGGGGCCTGGTCGTTGATTATGGCCCTCGCCTTCGGCTAAGACCATTATCAACGACCAGGCGCAGGCCGCTAGTCGGGTTAATTAACATTTACATTATCAATTCAAAGACATTAACACTTAAGAAAATACACACACACAAATATAAACCACCATAATAACGTTTCCTAAAAGCAACCCCGATTAAATCACCATACATTAAATACCGTTGTATAAAAATAACATAAAACATTCATTGCAGTTAAAATAAACCCACTAAATATTCATTAAATCTTTTTTGAAAAGGATGTGTCTATAGAAGTGCTACAAAACTTTCAACGCTTCTAGCGGTTCTAATGATGAAGGGGATGTCATTCCGAATTGTTGGTGCTGCGCGCTCAAAAGCTCGGTCTCCAATGTACGTTTTGTCCTCATTGCACAATAAGTAAGAAGTGAAATATCACCGGGACTGCGCAGATATTCCTTGTGGAAATAAGATGGCACAATGTCGAAGCTAAGTAAGATTGAATGTTAAAAGTCTTGAACAAAATGTTGAATTCAATTCTATACTAAAGCGGGAGCCACCATGAGTCAACAATGGCTAACAAGCCCAACACAAGAATTTGAACGTGTTGCTAAAGATTGAATTTGCTGTCTGGAAGACCATATAGCACACTATTACAATAGTATCTTAAGAGACTAATAAAATAGATACACCGTTAAAATACATTTCTCTAAAGTTGATAGTAAGCAACCTTCACTCAACCCCAAAAGAAACGATTTTTAGACTCTCTAGAGTCTAAATTTTTAAAAACCAAGAAATGCATTTCTTAACGATGTACGACAATGTATCGTGGGGCAGCGTATCAATCAAAGCCCGCCCAGAAATAAAATCATTCAACATTTTGAACGTGTCGATCCGATTATGTCAACATCCGTTTAGCCTACGATATTGGAGTGCAAGTGGCGAGATGGGACAAGTGTAATGAAAACACAACCTTGTATGTTAATGGTGGCAATATTTTCTATGCAACCGTCAAACGGTCAGAGTATAAAAAATGCAACTTGCTCTCTCTCAGTCTAAAACAGACATCTCAGGGGAGAAGCCAGGAAACAGCTGGTTGACGTTAATGAGGACCCTACGGTTAGAAACATAAGGGCTTTAATGCGGACTCTCGGGACCTATATTTGGGGAAATACAATTGATAATGCAAGATGACAAAGTCTTAGTTGAAATTAAACTAACCCGTTTTTAATGGTTGTGTCTGCGATTGAAAACAAAATAAAGCAAATCGAAACGAAACCTAAAATGCTATATTACGAAAATAATGGTGTCATCACGGATTCAAATCGCCAGACTTGGTTTGTGGTTAGTGAAGGAAACATCCGGTTTTGCGGGGAGGAGATGTTTTAAAGACAGGGTCTCAGTTACAATACCGATTGAACTCGTTCTTGGAAAACGGGAATATCACGCAGTTCTTGTAATGTTCCCTCTTGCAATTAGTCAATACCTTGATTTTCCCCCGGTATTAGTTAGCTTGTACCCAGCACCAATAATGGTTTTAATGAGCTCCCAAGATACACAGGAACTCTCAGAATGATTCCATCCGAACGATAATGCAAACAGCCTGCTAAAAATATACGGATTGTGTGGATCCAGAAACGTAACGTGATCATGTTTCACTACAAGAGAAACAAGCTCTCTTATACCAATTAAGTCCAAGCAAATTCGAGACATCATCCATTTTTGTTCTGTTATGCACGGTATATACAGTGAAACGGTTTTCGTATTCGCCCTGTGTAGGAGATGGTCAACTTACATCATGTTCCCTGAATTCATTATTACTAAAATATAATTCAAGCTGTCTTGCGATTGGGTAATGATTAGAGTGCGTGCCTCGATTGCAAAAAAACCCAAAATAAATAAAAACCCAAAAAAATGCACGGGGACCGAAAACATAAAATTATGCTCATCACATTGCTGATCTATTGTATCGACTAATAAAATATGAATATAATTTGTATTTGTCGTGAATTGGTCCAGTAGCAATCAATCTAACCAAAACCTTGCTCACTGTCTCTTGCTCATTCTACGATTACTAATTGATTGAAAACGGTGTTGACTTCATATTCTTTGTATCAGGATTCCCTGTAAGTGATTTTTCTTTTTACCGAACTTTACGTTCCTTTCATGCATAAAATTAATATAGTTTCTTTATTTCTTACGAGTAGTGGCCCTTAACCCTCGAGTGTGTCAAAGTTACAAGGTTATCAGGGCAGATATTATATTTCATATATTACTGGTAACACATCTAACATATGAGCTATTCGAAATGAAAACAAGGAGAGCGACTAGCCTCGATCAATGCGGTATCAATGAAGTAGTATCCGATTCTAGCTAGTAAATGGACGGAGTGTTGTCTTACCTGCTGGTCTCTGCCAGGATCCCACGGCGTCCAGCGTCCACTTGTCCCCGCTGCCGCCGAGGCCGGGCCCGCTGGTGTCCCGGCGGGTCTGGAACGTCAGGTTCAGATTGGTCGCAGAGGCTGCGGCAGAATATGGTGGAAATTGTATCTGCGGTAATTGTGGTCTAATTGCACGATTTTACAAGACTTCACCGTGGGCTTTATGTAAAGGCATGACCATTACGCAAGGAAGATGCTTTTCAAAGATAACACACTCCCATCAGTGACTCAACCTGCTTTCCCGTGAACTTGATTTCGTGACTCTCCGTTTACCGCATACTGCATCATTCGCAAACATATCAAGTTTACAAAATGATAAATTATTATACCTTATGTCTCATTCTTTCCAGAAGGAAAGTGAGTTATTTATGTTTCTACCACGAAGAGGCCAATGATGTATTGTTCGTACACGATTCAAACATTTTGTTTTTAAGTTGTCTTCAAATGTTTCACAACTCAGTTTTGGCAGATTTCAATTTGGTATTGAGGCCTGATGTTATCACCTTTAATGTAAATCCCGAAAAAGCAAAACTGAACAAACATCGTGAAAGGGACACCAAACTTTCACCAAGAGCCGTTTTCAGAGGGTAAGTCCGATAACATCTACAAACAACTATGCACTTCTTTATTTAATTTTTGCCTTAATAAATAACCCAAACGAACAATTTCGTATAGAATTGGGATATATGTTTCCACACAGGTGACCTCAAGGTAATAACACAACTGTGTGTGTGTGATAACTGCACTAAAAACTAAAATGAAATTGTCCTGTTCTTACAGAAACGAAGGGCAACGATCTAATTACTCAGTCGTTAAAACGACTAAAACATCAAATTTTCAATTATTTGGGCTCAGAAGTATATCATATTAATAAACAAGAGTAGACGTACGTGTGTATTTGATTCTCAGTTTAATTTCACTCCAAGTATGTTCCTCTCATTTAGTTTAAGAAAAACAGCCGAAATAAAAGAAAACATTGACTCACGCAACGTGATGCAGGTGTTTGCAGATGTGATTCCAATTTTGGGCGTTAAAACTGCCAACGATGTTGCTACAATCACCACCCATATGTGCGATTGGATCATTTCGGCAAACGGTGATTAAATATACCAGTAAATCCTTTACATATTTGCCATCTTTGCAGATTGAAATAGTTCTCCAGGAAAACAGGTGAAAAGAACACTCCTCGAAGAACAAAACTGCTGTTCGTGGAGCGGTCTTGTATTCCAAATGATTCTTGATAACCACCTGCGTCGATTACCATCGGGAGTGAATTGTGACCACTGCCATATGCAAATCACATGAAGGTTTGGTAGCCAATCACTGAGCCTCTCATAATTCTTTACCCTTTCACGCATGCGTGAGTTATGGTCATTATAGTCAAAGAGCAGCACTGTAAGAAGCCTTCGTGATCAGCAGAAAGGATAGACGTCGAGGACTTTGTCATAGTTAATCTAATATACATCCGCTAAACGTCGCCGTGGTAAGAAATTTAATCAGCAAATAATTTTAGAAGTAAACACGGCATTAAAATTAAACGGAATTACGATTTGTCGTTGCCCCTCAATCAATCAGACACAGTCACAACTAGTACGCGATTCAAATGCCTTTTTGAGTGAATAGAATACATGTAGCTTGGGTCAACTTGCAAGACTAAGTTAGCAACATGGGCGTTAATGCGGACGCTCCTCATACACAAACTGTACCAACTAATTACAAAATCATGGTTTTCATAACCTTTGTAAATTGAGATGGAGGAAGAAACGATGTTCGTTTAATGTTTGCCTGACAAAAGAGTGTTATCTAACCGTATACGTACACGCGCCTGACAACAAAACATCGCGCTTTTTTAAAACACATAAACGGCGGGAAATGATAAACTTCAGTTAGTCAAAAGATATATTTGACTTATCTTGACAAGTCACATTTTTTCTGCAGAAACATTGACAACGCGGCATTTGTCAAAACCACCACTAATGACTAAATTGGATTAGTCCATGGCTTTCTCAAACATAACTAATGCACATTAGTCAAAACCACAACTGATTTCAATCATGGCTGACGGCAAATTAGTCTGTAATTAAAGATGACTTAACATAGTTATTCATTTTGACTAACAAAGAGGCCCCAATGACGAATTAATGTTTAGAGTGTATAATAATAATAATAATAATAATACAGTATGCAATTGATGTTGCAAGACGACAAAGTCTTCGTTGGTTTTTTAATAGCTGTGTCGGCGAGTGATAACAAAATAAGGCCAAATTAATCCGAAACCAAACGTATAAATGCTAACAATAATAATTATGTCAACACCTATTCAAATCGCCAGATTAAGTCTGTATCGGTTGACGGGATATCCGGTTTTACGGGGAGGAGTTATTTTAAAGACAGGGCCTCAGTTACAATACTGATTGAATTTGTTCTTACAAAACAGTGATATCACGCTGCAGTGCTTGTAATAGCTTAGCATAATGTTTGGTCCTGATATTAGTCATAGCTTATAATCCAAAACCCATGATAGTTTTAATGAGCTCCCAAGATACACACTAACTCTCAGAATGATTGCATCCGAAAGATAATGCAAACAGTCTGCTAAAAATAAAATGATTGTGTGGATCCCAATACGTAATGTGATCTATTTAAAGGCAAACAGCTCTCTTACCGATAAAGTCCAAGCAAATTCAAGCCGACGTCCATTTGTACACAGTACAGTAAAACCGCCAGTTTCGTATTCGCCCTGCTTAGGAATTGGTCATCTCATAACTTTTCCCCTGAATCCGTAACTAACACCAACAGAGAGAGCCTTCAGAAATCAAATTGTCTTGCGATTTAGTAGTGATTTGCCTTGGGTGAAACTGAAGAGCCTGGTAGCTTGGGGCAACTTGCCGCTTTTTTGTTAATACGTTTTGTTATCGCTGTTATGGGTGGGATTCGGGTGATTACATATGGTAGTAGCTGCAGGGAAATCACATGAGTAGGAAACATTTAAGAAATTTTGAACAAAACTGTTATAATTGCACTGGTGATTATGGTTTTTACTATATTAATGCCTGTACTATAATCTAATATTCATGCATACAACTTATTTTCTACCAAAAATCAATCGTTGTTACATCCGGCTGTTCTGAAAATTGGAAAATAAAATATGCGCTCTTTGGTAGTAATGTGCATTTCAAAGTGCTCGGAACAATAACTCATAAGACACACGTTTGCGGCAGCTGAGTGCAGATAGACTTAAAACAGAACACATTTCGAGGAGTGTTCTAACTTTGTATCACACTATAGATTACCGTGCAATCTCCTCTTCAATGTACATGAGGGTTCAGAGGTTGAGAGAATCAGCAACTGCGACGCCATCTCATGCGGCCCAATTCGAAACCACGCGAGTCTTATTTCTATGTTGTATATGTGTCTGTGTTGCATATTACCTATACATATTGTTTTGATATTGGCTTAGACGTGCGAGTATACTCCACAGGCGGTTTCTGCAGAGTATATGAAGATCATGTTTTGATATTCGTAAATAATCAGTTCCCCTTGTATTTTCTCGTTTATTTATGTGTTAGCTTTTGACTTAAACGCTACATGCTGTTAAGGGTTTTTAAGCACGAATACGTTTGTTTTCCATTATTGTGTTGTTTCATTTCGACTTCTTGCCTTTAAATACATGATTTTTTTTCCCTTCCATCAATTTTAAGAAGTCTAATGGGGCGCCTCATACTTCTTAAGTGCACAGCCGCGTACAACTGACGGATATTTTTCCGGTTCACTGTTACGGCACGTCCCTTCACTTCAGATTCGTCTCCGTGGTAACGTGATACACATTGGAATTACTCCCCTGTGCTCCTTCATTAATTCTCTCTCCAGATTCCTAAGTCTCAGGCTTCTCTTTCTATCCTCTGTCCCATTTTACTGGCGCTTTGCTTTTTACCTTAATCGAAAATAATAATCAAAGCAAAAAACATATCGATCGGGACCTCATGTCAACATGGCTTGGGTTTTGCCCGACTCGTATAAAAGTTTCGCAGAAGGGAAAACATTATTTCCATTTGCTTATTCAGCTTCTATTACAGTAAGACTGGTATGAGGTCAACATACGAATTTCTTACTCATCTAGGGTAATATTCCTTAAGTTACACGGAAATTCATTTCGGAGTTTCAATTAAAGCTATCATTTTATTCCGTTCACCAAAGGAGTGGTGATTTTGTTTCAAACTGACTATCTCTCCCAAGTACGGATGTGCCCCCTCCTCCCCCAAGAACGCGGTGCCTTTTGTATAATGCCACAGTCACCGAGGCTACTGCACTACATTCTCCAAAGAATTCAATTTATTTGCTCTTGATACCAAAAAAAAATGAACATTTTTTTCTGGTTGGTTGGGGTTGAGTAGGCATGCACCTTACATTTCAAGGCTTTCAGAACACATGCCAAGGCTGCAGGAGCTCACTCCCGTTAGCAATTTGCTGTTGCCCCCCTTGGCCAATCAATCTCGATTTGAATGTTTTGGAACTAATTTACCTGGACCAGCCTATTTTCCTCTGCCCGACTGAGTCACTGACTGACTGAGTGCCTGCTGAGTCACTGTGTGTAAAATCATATAAATGTCGGGTCTCGTTCGAATAGCAAAGCATCGTCTTGTTTCTTGACGTTTCAGTACAGCTCTAGTTACGCTATTCTACGTTCATCACCGGCACCACGAGCTGCCTCTTTAAGATTCATTCCATACACTATTGACCGGTTAGTTTACCTATACGTACCAGTCACGTACCATCTTGGAGTATCGAGTGAACCCAAGGACTTATATACCGAGACAGAAATCTCTCCGATTATCCCTCATCAGCTAAGTGCAATTACAGCCTGCCGCAGATCGGCGTGCGCTGCAGAAACAAATCCTGTCTTCTGAGAAATTACACAATCGGAAATGATGGATAGGTGAATTCTACCGGCAGAAGACTGTGTGCCACCGAAACAGACCTAGAGGTACCTCGACCCTCCTGTTAGGGGTTTGGGGCAAGATTTAGTCCCTGGAGACCAATTAGGTGTAGGGTCAGGGTTATATTTAGGTCCAAGGCTTCTATGGGTGAATGTGAATGGGTGAAGCTACATAATAAGGCCTAGGATACATTGAGGTACAGCATTGCGTAATCATTTAGGCTTTGGCCTATATTTAGGTAGGCCTACAGGGCTAGGGCTTGGGTAAAGATTAAGTTATAGAGTGGGTGATGCATTCGGATCAGGAGCTGGATTAAGCTAAAGGGTTGTGGTCCTTGGCTATATAAACATTTAGGCGTGGATGCAGGGTTGAGGGTAGATTTACGTACCGGGCTACATTCGGGTACAGGATTGGGGGACATTTTAGGTAGTGGGTTGGCATTCCATTTTAGTGATGGACTACGTAAATTTCGATACTGAGCTGCATTAGGTGCAGGGTTGAGACTATACTTACGTTCTTCCTTATCTAATTTCGGGCATTAAGCTACCATAGTTATATGGCTACAGTGTGGTATAGGGTTCGGACTACATTTAGATCCACGTCTACATTATTTTAATTTTGCAAGGTTCATGATACATTTTGGCACTTGGCTTCATTGTGGTACGGCTTGGTGACATAAATTCGTTCAAGCACGTGGTTTATCATTATTTCCGCAGCGTCAGAAATTGTTTTTACTTTCTTCAAAGACGCATTATGTTTGTGTTATGTTTGTGTTATTTACACCATGTGGACATTCCTTTCTTCTCGTGTAATTAAGTAATAAACATTGCCACGTGCACTGCAAACATTTTTTGAAAGTGAATTTTGTACTTGATTTCCTTCTACTTTATTTTATTACGGATAACCTAACCCCAAAATGCCTCTAACGCTGTGTTTCAGAAAGTGGACAAACTCTGTGGACATGTGCAAGTCCATAACGTATGGACATCTTTTGTTGACAGGTGCACACAGTGACTGCAGTACCTGTACATTCCCTCGTTTAAATGTTGATATGTAGCACTAGCCATGCACAAATGAATGACTTTTAACGAGACTTACCTTGGACTCAAAATGTCCTGGATTGCTTTGCCTCTGATGTCTAATGCACATTCAGCTATTAGCGCAGCAGTGTATTGTCTCTGAAGAGGGTTTTAAGCATCCTATCCATCCTTGAAAATACGACTAGCACTTATTACCCATTAAAAACACGCATTGAAGGTTAATCTTGTTGCACTAAATT